CTATTGGTTCTTTTGGCAGCCCATGGCACTTTGAATATTCTCTTCCAACACCATAACTCAAAAACATCAATTCTTGTACGTTCTTCCTTTTTCACTGTCCAGCTTTCGCATTCGTATGAGGTTATTGAAGATACCATGGTTTGGGTCAGGAGCACCTTAGCCCTCAAGGTGACATCTTTGCTCTTCAATACTTTAAAAAGGTCTTGTGCAGCAGATTTACCTAATGCCACGTCATTGGATTTCTTGACTGCTGCTTCCGTGAGTGTTGATGGTTGATCCAAGAAGAATGAAGTCCTTGACAACTTCAATCTTTTCTCTGTTGAGAAGAATGTTATTGGTCCAGTGGTGAGGATTTTTGTTTTCTTTACATTGAGATGTAATCCAAACTGCAGGCTGTGCTCTTTGATCTTCATCAGTAAATGTTTAAGTCCTCTTCACTTTCAGCAAGCAAGGTTGTATCATCTGCATAACGCAGGTTGTCAATGAGTCTTCCTCCAATCCTGATGCCACGTTTTCTTGGCAACTTAAAATTCCATTTCACTGTATCCTTTACATCAAATTAGATACATTGTATGCTTTGGGGAGTGTCTGTGTACACACTTCTTTCTGGTAAAAGCAATGCTGTTAGGTAAAAGAACTCCGATGCATAAATTTCCAATGTATACAAAACTCAATAACAATTTTTTATCTTCTTTGTTCATTCTTGTTTTGGTAAATAATGATGGGGCACATAAGAGATGCCTCATCACCCTTGACCCAAACCATCTTGATTTTAAACATGATGGAAATATATGTATATAAGAATTGGATTTGACAGGTACTTTCAAGCTCAAAATTCTATAATTCTGTGATTTCTCTCCATATATTCTTTTAATTGATCAGAATCATTATTCTTAGTAAAATAATTTTGCTGTTTATACTTTATAATCTCTTAGGTCCCTGCATATATGGAAATAGAAAAAAGATTGGTCTAAACACACGATATGCATATATCTCTGGCAGAATGTGAATATTTTTCTTAACTTCTATTAACAGCTTAAACCCCAGGTCAAATCCACTATTACTGAGCCAATTCCAACTCATATGACCCTAAAGGACACAGTAGAACTGCTTTCTACGGTTTCTGAGAGTAAATCTTTACCTTAGAGAGGCGGTGGGTTTGATCTGCTGACTTTGCCATTATCATCTCCACTCTTAACCCACTCTGCCACAGGGCTCCTTGTTCACATATCACTACCGGTTAAATGTAAGTTTCATGCTGAGCTACAATGATAAGAACTGAGTTGTAAATGTATGCCTGTGTAGTGGAGGTGATGATGTGTCATTGAATTGATTCTGACTTATTGCAACCCTGTACATGGTTTCTGAAGCTGTAAATCTTTACCGGAGCAGAAAGCCTTATCTTTGGCCCATGGAACTGCTGACTGTGACCAGCCCTACTTGTAACCATTTGTAACAGCCCTACTTGTAACCACTACACTACCAGAACTCCTGTGTATGCAAAGCTTTCTCTAGTATCCACCCTCCCAATAATTAAGTATTCATATTTTCTTAATTTATTGTCTTTGCTCTCCCATCACATCCCCAACTCATTCAATAAAGTGTTCTCTTTTCTAACCCCTTTTCTTCCTTCTCTCTTTATAGCTATGTTGTTGTTAAGTGCCGTCAGTTCATTAGGACTCACAGCAACCCTGATAGGGTATCCTAGGTGCAGCTGGTGGGTTTGAATCACCAACCTTGTGGTTAGCATTCTACTATATCACGTCAATATCCTTAATATAACATCTCAATGTCTTCTTATCTGAACACATCATAAAGACCTGCATTTTTTCCCTAAAACTTTATGTACTGTCTTCTTCTAGGAGCTGCTAACCTCAAGGTTGGCAGTTCGAAATTACTAGCCCATTCCGCAGGAGAAAGATGAGTCTTTCTGCTCCTGTAAAGATTTACAGCCTTGGAAACCCTGTAACCAACTCCATGGTACTTAACAACGTTAGACTCTAGATGTTAACCTTGACCTATCCCAAATTTCCAGACCCCTTTCAAATGGCTTCTGTACTTTATTTTCTATCTTTCATCATTCTGTTAACATGCCCCGTGACTGAAACTCTATGAAGGGAGGGCAGTTTGCTTCTCTAGGTGCAGAAGCAATTACTATAGAATATATTTACAATCTCTCCACCACCCAGCTCTGAGAAAGATCTGCTATTAAAAGAACTCCCGCGATGACATAATTTCTTATAGCATCCTTTACCCTTATGGTTAAGGAGCTCTGATAGCTTAGTGGTTACGAGTCTTGGGCTGCCAACCTCAAGGTCAGCAGTTCGAAACTACCAGCAGGTCCGCGGGAGAAACACGAGGCTTTCTGCTCCCCATAAAGATTTATAGCCTCGGAAACCCTGTGCAGAGCCACTACGAGTTGGAATGGACTCCAGGGTACTTAACAACAACAACCCTTACGGTTGGAGTCCTGGAATAGTGCTATGGGTTAATGCGCCAGACTACAAAGTCCTTTGAATCAGAAAGCCAGCGGTTCAAGCTCATCAGTCAGTCCTCCTACACAGGGTTGCTGTAGGTCGGAACCGACTCTAAGGCACTTAACAACCCTTATGGTTAACTTATCTTGTCTTCACTCCCTGCCCCACCTAGAGGGAAACTTTGAAGTATCTCTAGTAGAGGCATGTTTTTGTTTAAATCCTGCCGTTTTCGAACTTGTGTTTTCATATTGTTTCTATCCAGTTGTCGTGGAGTGTACAGAGGTGTTGGGCAGGATCTGACCAGGGAGCGGGCTCTTGAACAGAGGTCCAAGGGACCAACCTCTCAGTAGTCATGTTCCGTTTTCCTCGGGGTTTCTGATTCCCCTGCAGCATCCAGGTTTTCAGCCTTAGGCTTCCATCACCTTCTTACTCCCTCTGCTTTAGTTCATTTTTAGAGTAGGACACAATTTTCACACTTTCATACATATTTATCTCATTTGTTCTCCTTCGAATCCCTAAGACAAGGACAGGTTTCTCCTTTCAGTCCTGTTTTATTGCGAAGAAAACACCAGGCCCACTCATTCATTGTGAGGAGTAAAAATGGACTGTGGGAATCCTCCAGGCTGGACCACCTTTCCCATTTCCTTACACACAAAATGTGGCAGGAGGCAAACCGCACCAGGCAGCAATCGGCCTTTGTTTTCATTAATCACGCACACCAGGCCTTTATTAAGTGTTTGCAAAATGCCACAATGCCATACAAATGTAGAACAAGGCTTTTCCTAGCTCGAATTTGTTCCTACGCTTTCATTTCCTGTTTCTTGGCCTCTCCCTTAATACTCTTCCCAACCTACTTCATGCCACATTACTGAAAAATGTTCTCTTTTAACCTAAACTTCCCCTTCCCGGTGTTGTCACAGACAGGGTCTCGCCGATTCCAGGGTGCAGGTCCCGGCAGCGGTTTCCCAGAGAGCGCGGGCTCAGGGGATAAGTGCAGAGGTGTCAGCCAGCCTGGAGAACCGTCGTGCGCGCACCTGGGTTTGCAAGAAAGTGGTACACGCAATCTTCAACAATCAATGACTGCCCCGCCTCGCCCAGCTCCACACCACCACCCCGCCCGTCCGCTTCCGCCCGTCTCTTCCCCGCCCCCGCCGACCCTCCGGCGCTGCGCTGACCCGGAGCCCTCCGTGTCACCACGGGAACTGCTGGGGCCCCACCGGCAGCCTCCTCCTCCTCCTCCCGACCCAGAATCTCGCGGATCCGCTCCCTGGGGCGCGGAGGTGGGGCGGGCTGGGACGCCGGGAAGCGGTCAAGGACTCCGCTCTGTGTCGCCCGCTTCTCCGTTCTCCTCTCTGGGCGCAGGGCGGGAGGACTGGACTCCCACCCTGGACACACCCGCGCGGACACCCGGACCCTCTGAGCCATGAGAGGTGTTCGCAGCTCCCGCCTTCTTCCCCTCCAGCAAGTTCGCCTGCTTTCCTAAATAACTGTCTCCGGGAGGCGCCCCTTCTGTCTGTCTCCATTTCGCCCCTTTTCACCCCACCTAGGTGAAACGCGAGGAGGGGGTTGTGCAGGGGCTCCCTGATTCTCAGCCCCACCTCACCAGCAATGTGCATCGCTTCCGAACCCAAACAATGATCCCCCTTCCTTTCTTGCCCAGCCTCCGCAGGCCCCACCCTCACGTGGAGGGTGCCGCCCGGCAGCCGGCTTGGGATGCCCCCGCACGGACCCCATTGTTGCAATGCGCGGGCGAAGCCCGGCGTCCGGGGGCGGTCCCCACTAGCGGTCGCGCCGCCAGCCCCGCAGCCTCTCCCGGCCGCCGAGTCGGCTCCGCCCACACCTTTGGAAGTTAGCTCGCCAGCAAGCCGCGGGGACTGCTTGGTTCCGGGCCCCCTTTCCGCACGCCCCCACACGGACGCGAGCGGGGATGGTGTGGGGGTGCGCCGGCTCCGGGCTTTATTTGCCTCCGAATTCTCTTAATAATGCTGTCTTGCGCGCTTTGACACAAAAGAGGGGACTTTCTCCCGGCTCAGCGCAAGTCCTCGCCTTGCGAGTTGAAATGTGGGGGTTCCTGTCGCCGCGAGGCACCGTTGGCCCCCTTCACCTAGTGGCTCATAAAGCTCCGTTGGCCATGTGTACATTATTTTTGGTGCCGCAGCAAGGTGGTGCAGGTGAAAGGGAAGCGCGGCCCAGAAAGGAGGCCAGGGGAGGCGGGAGCAGGGGTGGGGCGGGGTGGGGCGGGGTGGAGGCTTCGCGGACCAACCCCCCAGCCCGGCGGCCCGGGCGACGAGACGAGGGCTGGGCAGTGGGTGTAGCCTTCTACCTCTGCGAGCGGGGAGGGGTTAGTTTCCCACAGGGGATTTCAACCATCACACTCAGAGCCCGCCTCCTAATCCTCGGGCGGAGCGGCTCGGGGGTTTTGCCCCATTTTATGGCAATAAAGCGACTTAGCGCCTGCTGAGCGAGCCCCTCCCCGCAGCCGCCCCCGCCCTCGGCCCCACCCCGGGGCTCGCCCGCAGCGGAGGGGCTTTGTTTCTGGGGAGGAGGACCCGGAGGTCTTTTGTTTGGGGGTTTGGTGTTTTCACCACCACCCCCCCCAGCCCCCACCACTCGCGCCTCTCCGGTTTCCTGAGCTCGGTGCTGGAAAGGAGGAGAAGCGGCGTCTTGCAACCCCCTCGGCTGGGCCCCGGGGTAATTCGATGCGGGCCTGGCGAGGCTCCCCACGCTAGACCCGGGCTCGCGTCTCGGCTGCCTCCACCCACCGGCCCACCCTACATTTAGCGCATCATGTGATCCGGGTAAGTCATTTGCAAGTACAACAGTTCCCTGGGTTGCCCCCCATTCATTTCCTGAGAACTGCAGAGAGCAGCTGAGAGGCTCTGCCTGTGTGTGTGCGCGAGTGTGCGTGTGAGTGTGCGCGGGTGACGCCGTGTATGTGTGCGCGAGAGAGTGAGTGTGTGTAAGAGAGAGAGAGAAAGGGAGAGAGAGAGGGGGACTCTGTAAGGGAAAGAAAACAATTTCTCCTGCTCTGCAGCTTCTATTCAGGTCTGTGCCGATTCCGTTTCTTATCAAAATAAACAACCCACTCCCTTTTTTCCTCTTTTTTTTCTTGGTGTTTTTTTTTTTTTTTTTTTCCGCCATCCCAAATCAGAACGTATTCTCTTAACATGTTTTATTTTCCTTCTGTCATCTACTCAAGTTCAATCATTTTGGTTGGTCTGTGTTCTGAAAAAGGGGAAAGTGTTGGGAAGCGGGAGGGGGTCGGCGGAGGGCGATGCTATTGCAAAGCTAGTAGCGTTGGTCGGATTCGTGGAGCATAAAGGAGGTTTCTTTCCCCCACTCTCTGAAACATTTTTTTAAAAACAACTTATCAAGTAACATGTATTAAGCAGTTCTCCCCCCCCCCCCACCCCGAGTGGAATTGTCGGTTGCAATGTTTGTCTGACAGTTGGCAAAGATGAAAATAAAACACCAGGGCTGAATTGTGGGGTCTTGTTGAAGTAGTTTGCCCAAGCAATAGAGAGGCTTCGGTGACTAGCTACCGCACCGGAGCTGTAGGTGTGCGCCCGAGAGAGTGGAGAAGAAGGGGTTAAGGCGGAGATGACACCGCTAGCTTGAATCGTGATCCTGGTGCTACATTCATTATTGTCTCTGGTCGTAATGATGTGTAACTGTCACTTGCTACCGTGCCTGGTCCATGGACGCAGCCAAGGGCTGGCCCGTGGCTGGTATTTTCAATGATAGGGGACCCAGACTTGAGTTGACAAGGGGCAACTTTACACATCCATCTGGAGAGGCGGTTTGGGAGTCCACTTCTTCTTGCCTTAGAAGCTCGCTCCGAGTCCTGGGACTTGACCTCCACGACATTAGTTGGTGTTCATGTTAGATGCTTCCCTACGGGGGGAGAATCAATCCTGGTTTTGTTGCGTAGAGAACTGCCTATTAGAACTTTGAAAACTTTTATCTTTGGGGAAAGGGTGGGGTACACTCAACAGTTCTGTTTCGCAGTGTATTTGAGGCAAAAGCTTGGAAAAAGTACCAATTCCTTTGTTATATGTCCTGCAGCTTCCCAACCCCCTTCACCCTGCGCTTCGAGTTTTGCATACTTTAATAGTAATAACCTTAATTCGGCAGATAAAAGCTGACTGTGTTGAAATTAGGAGTATTAGTACAACGGAATGTGTCCTCTGAACAAACAGTTTGTGTGGTTAATATTGTCAGCTCTCGTATTTAAATGTACAGATGGATTAAGGGTCGTTCTATATGAATTGTCTTAACAATCTGCTGGCTAGCAGTCCTGTCGTTGAAGCCATTGGATGTTATTTTAAATCACCTTTAATATTCTCCCACTTGTCCCGTAACACCAGGGAGATGAGCAGCTCTATTTACATTTAGTGCATGTGCATCTAGCCTTCTTCGGTAGACATCTGCCAATCAAACGCACGTCATCTGTAAATCCACCTAGACGCCTCCAATCTCTCTTCTTACTGGAGGATAGTGTTGTTTAGATAAGTAAATGTTTTGAAATAAATTTGGTGGTTTTAGCAGGCAGCAGATTGTGATGGGAATAGGTGTAGTCATTTGAAGAGTGGGTGTATGTGATCTAAGAATCGCGCTTTAGAATTGGCATTGGTAAAAACACTGATCTCCGCCCTCACCCCCTCTCCCCCTAGATAAAAACCTGGTTGTGCTACTTGCAGACCTCATTCACATGTTGTTTACATTTTTGAAAAGCTCATAGAAACTGGTTTATGATAAAGAGGTATATTTTTAGCCCAGAAAATCTAACCATAGCACCTTAATAGAAATAGATACCGAAGGACAAACATTTCAGTTGCATAAGTTAACTCTTTATCTCTGCAGTCTGGTCAGCCTTAAGACTAGAACGAGTATATTAAGCTCCTTTTGAGTTGGGAATGAATCAATTTGAACATACAAGAACTGGCAAAAATTTGTAATGTATTCAGGAATGATGTTTATTATATAGCACCTTTTCATTCAGATTTGCTATGAAATATACTTACACAGGTAAATTTTGGAGTATTTGCATATAAAATTTTCATTAACTATGAATGAAAACTGTAATTAATATAGTAGCTATGTCATGTAAACAAAACAGTCTGGTCTCTGTTTTATTTGGAAGGGTTTAAGTTATTTGTGTATCTATTTAGTACTTCATATTTAAAAGAAACTTCAGTGAGCTAAAGTTTATTTTGGAAAGTTTTGTGTTACTATCTATTGAATGAAAATTGTTATGCTTATGCTGATGAGCCATTAATAACCCCCACCCCTCAACTTCCTTTCCAAGAAATGAGTACTATTTGGGTAAAAACTGGTCTTGGCATATAGCATTTGAGACCTTGAACTTCGCAACTGTTAAATGGTGATGGTTTACTACAGCTGCAGCCTACGTGTGTACCAAAGAGGAAAGGGTTGCAAACCCTGGAGTGATTATGCTTCCCAGGTCAAGGAGAAAACTAATGAGGATGCTGGCGGTTCATTCCAAAGAGCAAACATCAGGCATCTGATATTGACAGTGTACTGGTCATTCAAAAATACATATATTCCTCAGCGATTTTTCCCTTGGCCTCCCGTGAAAGGCAGACATGCACTTTAACAGCCTCACAGTGAGTTTTAGGTACTCTATCAGGAAGCAGGCTGTTAGCAACTTAATGAAATAATTTGGTCTTAAATATAGGTGTGTTTTTTATTAGCCAGAACAACGTAAGTGCTAGGCCTCTAGGCATATACTAAGGGCATTTTGAATTCAAGCCAGTGTTATTCTAGAGTATGGAGTAACCTTACCCAGTGAGGTGATATTGTTAAATAGATGAACATCGAAAGACTGAACATTTCCTCCATTGCACAAGTTAGAAAATATGGAGAGCTATTTTGCTAATTTAAAAACATTATTAAGTTATTTGTTTTCCTTGAGGAAAAAAAATCTTGCTATAGTAATAATTTCATAAACCTAGTAGGTATTTTGCTGTTAGTACAAAACAACTTAATATGCAAAACTGGAGCAGCACAAAATTATGTCAAAAGTTGTTCTTGTTTTTGAATACATAAGTTTCCTTACTTGCGTTTCCATGTTGATTAATGAGCCTGAGCTAAAATCCCGTAACAGGTTTATTCAAAATTGACACCATGATTATTTTTCTCTTTCAGAAAACAACTTTAATTTTTGTAAATAATTCCTAAAATAGGTTGCTGTTGCTTACCCTTCTTGTTTACATTTAAAAAATACAATGATAGTCAAGTAGAAATATCTGTATGTTTGCCTTGTGTACTACTGACCAAGGTTTGTTTATTTTCATTTAAAAAATTCAAATGCATTTATGTTTAAGCCTACAAATTATGCACAACTTTCAGCCTTCGTTATGTATAAATTCTAAGAGTAAATATATTAAATCACTGGCAACACCCTACAACCACAGTCTTAACTCATCTACCACAAGAACCCCTCCCAAAAGCAAAATTCAAGTAAACAGATGGACCTTGCCCTGTACCCAGAAGGTCAACAGCCCTTAGGCTTGGTTGGACCTGGTTGGTGTGTATAGATCCCAAGCCTGGCCAGAATGCTGACTGACTTCAGCTCACCAGAATTCATTCTCAGGGCCTGGACTGGCCACACCCCATCTGACGTCAGCTATTGAGTTCTTGTGGTAGAGAACACATGCTGTGAATTAAATGGTTTCTTTCTCTATATATTCTCAGTAATTATGTTACAAAAGGGTTTTTCGGTTTGGGGTGTTTATTGTCATAAAAATGGCTACTTGAGTAGTCAGATGCTTCCATAAAATTTGTTTTGGTCTGGCAGTAGATTATAGGCTGGAAACTCAAAGAATTCTGCTTTGGTAAGGTCTTTCTCCCCATCTTTTCCATTTTTAACTTAAAATCTTATGTTTGTCTTTTTTGTGGCTAATCTCATGCTTGTATATTTTTGACAATTTTAAAATGTAATCATTGGACTTGTCCAAGCAGTATTGTTGTCTAGGTACAGGGGAGTAGCAGAAAACCTTGGGTGTTGTAAGGCTGCAGGGAAGGAGAGAAGGAAGACATTTAGAAGACTTTGGGCTAGTCTTGACAGCCCCATCAGAGTCTATGGAAGCCAACAGGTGGTTATGACAGTAAGGAATTGTCTTCCTGGTGTGACATTTGCTATACTTACCACTAAGCTTGTCTTCTCATAATCATTTCTAACCATAATGTGTGATGTGTGAGGGAGCTTCAAAAAGTTTGTGGAAAAATATGATAAAAGAATAATGAAATTTTATTCATGTACTTTTTGGAAAGACCCCTGTATACATATAAATTCACTATTTATTTATATACATAGGATAAGCACTGGACTGTGAACCACAGGTCAGTAGTTCGAGTCCACCAGCAGGAGAAAGATGAGGCTTTCTGCTCTTGCAAAAGATTTAAAGCCTCAGAAAACCCTATCCACGGTCACTATGAGTTGAAACTGACTCTATAGCACTTAACAACAACAACATATATACATATTTATACACAAATATATAAGGAACTCTGGTAGTGTAGTGGTTACGAATTGGGTTGTTAGCAGTTCGAAGTTACCAGCCATTCTGTGGGAAAAAGATGAGACTTCTTGCTCCTGTAAAGATTTACAACCATAGAAATCTATACATGGTTGCTAGGAGTTGGAACCGACTCCACAGCACATAACCACAACCATCCCCCCCCCACCCCCCCACCCCCCACACACAATGGGACCTGTTGTGGCGCTGCAGGATAATGCACTGGACTGAAAGGTAGGTTTGAACTGAGATGTTGG